CACACACACACACACACACACACACACACACACACACACACACACACTCTCCATTATAATTACAATCAACCCAAAGTAAACAGTACTAGTAGTAGCAGTCCTATTTTCTACATCCAGTTCTATTAATAATAATAACAACTTATTGAGCCATTAGTATGTCCCAAAAACTGTTCTTAGACTATTACGTGTATTATTTAATTACCACAACAGCTCTACAAGAAGGGTAGTACTTTTATTCCCATCTTACAAAAATGAAAATGAAGCACAGAGAAATGAAATAATTAAACCAAGCTCCAGAGCTCATAAGCAGTGACGCTTTCATGCTACAATACCCATGTCGTTTCATTTCACATACAATCATTAATAAGCTTGGTCACCCAGGAAATATTTATTGAACGCCACAGGAAAACACATTTGGAATTCTAAATGGTTATCTTCCCTCCTTCATTAACTTTGAGGAGGAACAAGACAAACTACTGAAGGAAGAGGTCTTGTAGTGTGGCTGTAAATGTTTTCTATTCTATATACTATATCACCTATTGCTAAGAAAGCATTCCCTCAGGTCAATCACTTTCATGGACTTTGTAAGAAAATAAGTCTTCTCCTTAGGAAAAGCACAAAAGTGAGATAGGCATGGATATGGAAGAGAGAAGTGTTTTTACAGATTGTGTAGACTGAAGATAGCCAGAAATTATTTGACACCCCTACTGATAAAAGGTGAGGTCTATATACCTTCCCACTGAATTTGAGTGGGCCTATTAATGATAAAAATTACACTATGAAAGGAGACCTAATGATATGACTTTAAAAAATCTACCTTGGCCAGGTGCAGTGGCTCACACCTATAAGCCCAGCACTTTGGGAGGCCAAGGTAGGCAGATCACGAGGTCAGGAGTTTGAGACCCACCTGGCTAACATGGTGAAACCCCGGTGCTACTAAAAATACAAAAATTAGCAGGGTGTGGTGGCGTGCACCTGTAATCCTAGCTACTTAGGCAGCTGAAGCAGGAGAATTGCTCAAGCCCAGGAGGCAAAGGTTGCAGTGAGCCAAGATCACGCCACTGTACTCCAGCCTGAGCAACAGAGCGAGGCTGCATCTCAAAGAAGAAAATCATACATATTTAAAGTAACACATCAAGGGCCAGGTGTGGTGGCTCACGCCTGTAATCCCAGCACTTTGGGAGGTCGAGGTGGGCAGATCACTGGAGGTCAGGAGTTTGAGACCAGCCTGGACCACATGGTGAAACCCCATCTCTATTAAAAATACAAAAAAAAAAAAAAAAATTAGCCAGGCCTGGTGGCACACCTGTAGTCCCAGCTACCTAGGAGGCTGGGGCAAAAGAATTGCTTGAACCCAGAAGGCAGAGGTTACAGAGAGCCAAGATTGCACCACTGCACTCCAGCCTGGGCATCACAGCAAGACTCTGTCTCAAAAAAAAAAAAAAAGTAACACATCAAGCTTCTAAGTCCTACCATTTCATTTCTTTCCATTATTAAATTTGGAAAAATGGTAGTAAAACAATGTATCAGTCAAGAAAAACATCAAGCCAACATCTAGACTGAACTTATTCTATATGCAGCAAGAATATAAATTTATGGGTACTATCAATTCAATATTCTACTCTGAAGAAGTACCAAAGGCATAATTCACTGAATTTCAGTAGCAAGTAGTTTAATTTAAATGTAAGAAGCAAATACATATTTTAGGAATTTAAAATATTTCAAACAAATGAAATCATGTGAACAACACACACAAGTAGGACACTACTCAGCTTCCTATCCTTGCCTTAAAAATCTAAGGAAAATGTCTTTTTTTTTTTCTGAAACACTGCTCATCGAAATTCTGTAATCAACCATATACCTTTTTTATTCAAAAGATATACACAAAAGTATTGCTTTCACCTCAAACAATCACTTTTATATCCAAGTTTTAATTTAATATGTTTCATTCTAACCTAAAAAGAAGGGCCCACTCCTAGGTATACTGGCTCAAAAGCCCTAAAGTTATACTGCAACTCTTTCTTTTAGTCAAGTTTATTCTCTTTCATACCCTGAGCAGTCCGAAATGGCCAAAGGTCCATAACAAATAACAACTTTTTAATTGTGAACTGAAATGCAAATCATGACTGAGATATAGAACTTAGCAGTGACTGAGCCAAGCACTACCCAGCATCCTGATCTCAAAGAAGCATTAGTATTCTCTACCAGTTTCCAAATATATCAAGTAGATTCTCATTATTTGTGCTAGTTATATTCCATAAAGTCACTACACATCATGAATTAGCAAATACCAGATCACTGCTCCTAAGGGTAATCAAAAAGAATTAGCTTCCTGCTAGCCTCTGGTCACAACAATTTTATCTACTAATCAATACATAACCTTGTCTTAGTGTGCTTCTGTTTAAAGGTATCTTATTTAATATATATATTGTTAATTTATTAACATTGAACTCACAGCCAAAAGCACTGTAATTCATGCCTAAACAAAGTTTATCTAACACACGTATTTTCTCCGTAACACACATCACAACCTTCTTGTGCTTCAAACACTACATAACAGTTGAGCAGTATGCTTAGGGTACATTTTAAACACCTAAATCACCAGCAAAAAGCATAAAAATATAAAAAATGAGGTACTAAATATACCGTAAAAAGGACACTTTACAGAATGAGAGCTGAAACAAAGCAGAGCATCACCTTGTTTAACCTCAGCTGCCAACATGCACATTGGACAACTCAAATTTTTCATCATTCTGAATATGTCCATGAATGGCTGCAAAAGCTTTGCATGTATTGATCTGATTTACAGATATATTTTGGCAAGTAAGTGAATTCACAAATACAGATTCTGTAATTAATAAAGAACAACTATAATAACTTTCATTAAGAGCCTAAAGGAACCTGAAAGTCTGTTACATTTTATTACCCTTTATGATGACAAAAATATGTGCTTCGGTAATATTTAAAAATCTGAAGCCTTCAGATATCTCAAGGGTCTTCTGTGTATTTAGACATTTAGGTAACAGCATACACACATACACACTCCTTCAATATATAAAGGCACTGAACATATTTGTCCATATATTCAACAAACATGTGCTGAACAGCTATCATGTGTCTCACACAGGTTTAGGCACTGGGAACACAGAAGTGAAGAAAATAAAGTAATTCTCTCTCACAGCTTATATTTAACGAAAGGAAGATAAAAGAAATAAAAGCAATCAATCACCAGAGGACAATAAGAGCTACAAGGCAAAATAGGGGGATAAAGAGTAGCAGTTATTATTTTAGTTAGAGTAGACAGGGAAGGATTCTTTGAGGCAACAATTGAACCCAGAACCAAATAAAATGAAAAACTGAGCCATGCAAATGTATAAGGAAACATCATTCCAGGTAAAAGGAGCAAGTGCAAAAGACCCTGAGGTCAACGTGCTAAAGATCACCAAAAAGGCCAGTGTTGGATGGAGGGTACTGAGAGGAAAAAGAACACAAATAAGCTAAAATTAAAGAAGTGGCCAAGGGTCCAAGGCGGTACAGTCTTGTAGGCTAAGATATAAAAGCTATGGGTTAAGTTCTGAGAGTGATAGGAAGGCACGTAGGGATTTTGAGCAGAGAGTGACCATACTCACAATTCACATTTTAAGGGTCATCTTGCATGTTGCAGAGAAAACATAGTACAGGAGAAAAGGTGTAAAGAGGGAGACTACTTATAAGGCTACTATAATAAACCAGATATTAACTGCTGATGGCTTGGACTAGACCAGTATGGGAGATGGTGAAAAGTGGTCAGATTCAGGCTATAAGAAAGCTGACAGGATTTGATGACAGAATAAATAGGAGATAGAAAAGAGAGAAGTCAAAAATGGCTTGAGGAGCCACCCTGAGCAACTAAGTAAATGACAATACCACTTACTAAGACAAGGAACACCTGGGTAGGAGCAAGTTGCACAGAACAGAGAAATCAGTTTTACATGTATCAGAGATGGAATTAATGGGCAGTTCAATCAAGGGTGTCTGTCCACTCAGATTCCCTGCCAGTATAAGGAATTTTAAGGTAGTAATTTGCTGACTACTTATTAGAAGCTAAAGAGGATTCTGTGACTAACTTGGAAATTCCAACATCATTTACAATATTTTGTTTGTTGAAAAAAAGTGTTTCCAGATCAAATACCTTTCTTAAAAATAATTTGATAAAATATAATCCAATCATAAATTGAGAACTTTCAATAATTGCTACAGTTAAATATGTAACATATATCTCTGAAGCTATCTTACTTGCTGTTCAATGAAGTTAACATGATTTTTATTACCTGTGGAGTTTCATTTCATTTTCTTGATATAATTCAGTCATTACTTTAAGTTTCTGTTGAAGCTTCTGATTCTCACTTTCAAAATGTGTATTTTCTGACTGCAAAGATGCTTGTTCAGTCTGAAGATTTTTAATATGCTCTATATAAAAATTTTAAGTCATAATTAAAGGAGTAAACATTTGAGTTGCAAATTAACATTTCAGAAAGATAAAAATTACAAAAAATAATAAATTATTAATAAACTAAACTTTTTCCATTAACAGAAAATCTACAAGGTATTTTGTTTACCCAAATGTTTTTATTGTTATTAGTTGACACATAAAAATTGCACATATTTATGTGGTACAGTATGATATTTCAATACAGGTATTCAATGTGTAATAATCTTATCAGGGTAATTAGCATATCCATCACCTCCAGCATTTGTCATTATGTTATAAACATTCAAAATCCTCTCTTCTAGCTATTTACAAATAAAAAATATGACAAATGAAGTAGATTGAAGAAAAATAATAAATATACAATAACTAGTCACTCTACAGTGCTACAGAACACTAGAAATCATTCCACCTATCTAGTTATAATTTTGTAAATGCTAACTAACCTTTTCTTAACTCCCTACCCCCTACACTTCCCATCCTCATATTACTATTACTATTCCACTCTCTATTAAATGAGATCAACTTTTTTAGCTCCCATATATGAGAACATGCAGCACTGCTCTTTCTGGCATGGCTTAGTTCACTTTAAATTGGCTCACTCATGTTGCCACAAAACAGAATGCCATTATTTTTTGATGGCTGAATAGTGTTCAACTGAGTATATTAATATTTTAAGTAAGGACCTATATAAATTACTTTAATTTTGGCTAGGCGTGGTGGCTCACACCTGTAATCACGGCACTTGGGAAGGCCAAAATGGGTAGATCACCAAAGGCCAGGAGTTCAAGACCAGCCTGGCCAATATGGCAAAACCCCAACTCTACTTAAAATACAAAAATTAGTCAGACATGGTGGGAAGTGCCTGTAAGCCCAGCTACTTGGGAGGCCTAGAAGGAGAACTGCTTGAACCTGGGAGGCAGAGGTTGCAGTAAGCCAAAATCACACCACTGCACTCCAGCCTAGGTGACAGGGTGAGACCCTGTATCCAAAAAAGAAAAAAAAAAAATCGTTTTAATTTTTATTATTATTTACAGGATTCCTAAGACCTTCAACATTCTAATTCTAGCATCTAATTTTCAATTTGGGAGCCAAATGCCACTAAAGTTCTCAGGAAGATTTTGGAGATAAGAGTTTTAAAGGGCAACATTGTAGTTCAACATTCCCTGTAAAACTATTTCCAGACAATGAATAATACCTGTTTTTATCTAGTGAAAACTTTATCTTTCAATAATAAATTCTACCTAGCCCTCCCTTTTAAGCTAAAATTTTGATATGTAAGTCAAGCTAGAAATCCGCATCTTTTCATAACAATCGCTCAAACATACTCCTAGTTTAAAATACACCAAGACTGGAGAGATAAACACCAATTTTGTTTCAACTGCTAAACCAAGTTTTAAAAAAATCTATAAAAATGAATAATTCTAAATAATTATGAATGCTTTATAATGTATGCACCAATTTTTTTAAAAACCTCATTTCTCTCCTAACATAATAAATGCTGAGCTCCTCTAAAACTGAAATATCAACTCTGAATATCTCTAATATTAAGGTACCAATATAATAACTTCAACTCCTCTAAGATGAAGGAACGTATCATCTCCCATAACATGTGTATGAATCACCACCACAAATCTTAAAAGACAAAACTCACTCTGACTAAAGAGGGAAGTTTTGGAAATAGTATTAACAAACAGAAAATTTTCGAATTATATGTAATGGTATTTAATTATTCTAAAACACTCATGATATAACTTGGGTTTGTGTCCCCACCCAAATTTCATGTTGAACTGTAATACCCAGTGTTAGAGGTGTGGCCTGATGGGAGGTGAATGGATCATGGGCATGATTTCTCATGGTTTATTACCATCCTCCTAGTGCTGTCTCCCCCTGGGTGATAGAGTTCTCATGAGATCTAGTTGTTTAAAAGTGTGTAACACCTCCCCCTTCACTCTCTTCCTCCTGCTCCCACCATGTACGATGTGCCAGTTTCCCCTTCACCTTCCACCATGATTCTAAGTTTTCCTGACACCTCCCCGGAAGCAGAAACCTGTACAGACCACAAAACCATGAGTCATTTAAACCTCTTTTCTTTACAAAGTACCCAGTTTCAGGTAGCTCCTTACAGCAATGTGAGAACAGACTAATACAACCCATTAAACATACACACCAAAAGAACATTTTCAGTAAATACGTAAACATTAAATGATTAAATGTACAGGAAATTGTACATAACTATCTTTCCACAGAAATTTTTTAATCTACATCAGAAAAAAAATTCATTGACCTAGGCTTTAAGCCATTGCCAAGAACAATCACATAAAGAGATCAACGCTGGGTATTATCTCTACTAAAATTCATCATCCCTATTGTAAAACAAACAAGCAAACTACAACCCAACACTTAATTCTTTAATATACTTTTGTGCCTTTTTTTTTTTTTTTTTTTGACACAGAGTCTCACTTGGTCGCCCAGGCTGGAGTGCAGTGGTGAGATCTTGGCTCACTACAACCTCCACCTCCCATGTTCAAGCAATTCTCATGCCTCAGCCTCCCAAGCAGCTGGAACTACGGGCATGTAACACCACACCCAACTAATTTTTGTATTTTTAGTGGAAACATGGTTTAGCCATGTTGGACATGCTGGTCTCCAACTCCCGAGATCAAGTGATCCGCTCACCTCTGCCTCCCAAAGTGCTAGGATTACAAGTACAAGCCACCGCACCTGGCCATATTTTTGCACTTCTACTCTAGCTATTTTGTTTTGAATTGTCTGTAACTTAACCACTGTAAATGATTACCACATAAGGCATAAACAGTTTGGAGGAAAATCTTCATGCTATGAATAAATGATTAATTACAGAAATTTATCTTTCATGATCCATTAAAAAAACAAAGTTAGATTTGGAAGAAGAGTACAGGCAGATATACAGTCTCCAAATATTAGTCTAAGAAAAACATAAAGATTTGCCAGGAAATTGTATTAAGGAGTGGGGTAACTGGTGAGCAAATTTCCTTGCTACTCCAGCACTTTCTACACACATTTTTTCAAATACAGCTTTCTTGAAAGTAAGCTATCTTTTCCTTCTGTGAATTTCCCATGACTTTTAGTACAACGCTTTACATATAGCAACAGTCTCTTAAACTAATACTAATGTTTCTTAAAATCCAAAAATAATCCAATTACTAAAATCATGTGAGTAGGATACAATCATTTTTTGTTTGTTTATTTTGTTTGTTTGTTTGTTTGTTTTTGAGACGGAGTTTCGCTCTTGTTACCCAGGCTGGAGTATAATGGCGCACTCTCAGCTCACTGCAACCTTCACCTCGAGTTCAAGCGATTCTGCCTCAGTCTCTTGAGTAGCTGGGATTACAAGCACCCACCGCCACATCCGGCTAATTTTTGTATTTTAAGTAGAGACGGGGTTTCTCATGTTGGCCAGGCTGGTCTCGAACTCCCGACCTCAGGTGATCTGCCTGCCTCAGCCTCCCAAACTACTTGGATTACAGGCATGAGCCACTGCACCCAGACAGGTATATGATAATTTTTAATAACCTCTATCTTTGGTGGTTCAATCTTTTAAAATACTATTATAAATGCAGTTCACTTACTGTAGAAGTTTTTGAAAATACAGGTAAGTGAAAAGAATATAAAAATCTGCCCATAATCCCATATTCAGAGATAATTATTATTGACATTTGAGTATGTCCTTCTGGTCTTTTCTGATGCAAATGTATATGGTAAATTTTTTTAATTTTTATTTGTACAAAATGAGGTGCTATTTATCCCAATTTTAAAACTTTTCAAACATATTGACAGAACTTGTTTACTTTTTGAAAATACAAACACTATCTGCAAAATAAACATAAATGTTTTCAATTAAAACAAAAACTTCATTTCTACAGGTCTAACATCACTCTGGTATGTGCTAATATACTATGTATGTACATTAAAGGAATGAATCATACTGCAAGTAGTACCACTACTGAAGATCAATTTTTCAATTAACAAAGACTTTCAACATTAAGTTTCAATTTGCTACTTTTTAACATCTAAAACCATACCAAACACATAACAGTGTAATACATTAAAAAATAAATATGGTTTTACATGTTTTTCTAAAAAATTCATTAATTTTACATAAATATAGAGGAAATTGGTATGCCTTTCGCAATGACAACTAAAATCAGAACTAATGTTTCACAAATACCCAACAAGGACAAAAGTTAAAAAAAAAAATCAAATTGGATCTTCCCAAAATTAATTCAATTAATTTTTACCACTCTCTAAAAGGAGATGTACTTACTTAGAAAAACATTAAAAGTATGTATGTAGATGACCTACCTGTAAGCTCTTCCTTTGTCTTATCAACTTCAGATAACTGAATATATATTTGGTTTCTTTCTCCTTCTAAGGTTTTTAAACAAGCATTTAACTTTAAAGAAGAGAAGGAAAAAAGTAACATTAATCAGTTATACAAAAAAAAAAAAAAAAAAAACATAAACCTCATTATAACACCCCCAACACTTTTTAAGTTATTTTATCATTTTGATGAATTATCACCCGGAATACAGAAACTAATAATGCAGCTTCCATCTAAAAAAACCAGCAAAGTCATTAATGCTTGCTAAGTATCAGAACAAGGGATAGAGAAAAGTAGTGAATGTTTTTCACTGGATGCTTAAAAAGTGACTATTTTCATTCTATTTACTTTCAACAAAAGTTTTTATTAAAGTAGCCTTCAAACTACACTATCAAGACTTCATATAGATCAGCATAAATTAGGAATCCACTACTAGGGTGGAAAAGAGAAGAAATAAACCAGAAAAAAAGGAACCTGGCATTTACTTCTCAAAATAGGATTAGGGCAGAAAGGGTAATAAAATACTTAGACTAGAAGAAAAAAGAATGACCAAGGGAAGTACAAAATAAAATACAAGAAACATTTTAAATATATTCTTATCTGAAAAAATGAGTACAGAACTTGGAACTTTTTATTTTGATAAATTCTAAAAATTATATAAATTTCTAAACTTAATAATTAAAAGTAAAAAGCAATTGATGACAAAAATTCTGATCATTTATTGAATATATTTCTATGGGAACATAAAATGGACTTTTTAAACAGTTACTAAAGGAGATATGAGTTTAAACCATGTTCTCTTTCTTCTTTCTTCCTCCCTATTCTTTATATTTATGTAATAACACAAACCTTAGCAGCATGTATCAGTTTCTTCAAAGCTCCTTTTGGAGGATTATCTACAGTGAAAATCGAAAGCACAACAATGATTTGGGAAAGTAGTACAATACGACAAAAGACATCCAAATAATTTTATCAGTTCACTCAACGAGAGACTTATAATCCCTCTTCTTGCTACAATAAAGAATTTGGTATAAAGCAGAATGGCCTTGGACCTGCTCCCAGGAAGCTAAACAATAAAAGCACTGAAATGCCATATCATTTAACAAGGTTCTTCAGCTCCAACTTCAAGAACAGAGTTATAGCAAGGACTCAATATTCATCTAAATATAGACCACAATTGTTAACTACTCTTGGATTCTTACAGCATCCAAAATATGAGTAAAATTATAACCCAAGTTAAAATAACATTAAACAAGCATGAGTTTTCTCAGTTATAGAAAGGATTATTTTATACATAATGAAGTAGAAATTAAAAAGTACAAACAGAACTTTATATACTTATTTTAGAGATGTAATTTTTTCCAATATATTAATGTTATGAAAAAAAATTTTAATCACACTTTTTCCTCCTTAATAAATGTGTTACTTATACAGGGGGCTAGGGAAGCGAACAGAAAAATGACATAAAAGTCTGAAGAACTACCACTGGGGTCAAATGAGAGAGGGGTACATGGAACCTCTGTACTAGTTACAGAACTCCCTATGAAGCCATTATTTCAAAATAAAAAGGATTTTTTTA